AAAAAAAAAAACATTTGTTGCCATGACTTTTTGATAATATTTTTCCCCCTATAACACGTCTGTACCCAAATTAAGAATTAACGAGCATGTCAGCTATTACAAAGAAACAGAGAAAGTGCGAGAGAGTACATTTACCTCAGCAGCAACTGTCGCATTCTCGCATCTTGATCTTTAACGTTATCTTTTCGTGGATCAAAACTAATGCCTAAGGTTGATTCAATATATAATAAAAAAAAAAACGTTACATCAACAATAAAATAGTACAATGATGAAGTCGCTTAGCTTATATTAAACATAAAAATTGAACAAAACGACATAAAGTCATAAAGTAGTACAATGGCAAATTAGCATTTATGAAACCTCTAACTCTTATTAACAACTTGAAGAATACGGAGCCTATACTTGCATTGTAACCCAAATAAATAAGGTTTCCCTTATTTAAAACGAATGCTTAGTTTGTGGTTCATCTTTCTTTTTTAATGAAAACACAGCAACAATAAAGAGCAACTCAGTTATTTTAAACGAAGAAATGAAACGTTTATTAAGAAAAGTTCTCTTGCGCTTTTGGATCCGCCACCAGTCATTTCGCTTCACTCTCGTCACGTGACTCCTGCGGCTCCGAGCTGCTTGGAACAGACGCGTGGCGCCTCAGAACTGTAGCGTCCCATGTCCAGCTGAACTAAATTGATTTTATTTGTTTTATTTCTTGTAACACCGACTACAGGACAAAGCCTGTGTATTGCACACATATAAATTCGCTCCTGGGAAAACTCGACAGGAACGAGTTTTTTTTTCCTCAGCCCCCCCTGCTCAAAATACGTTCCCGCGGCTATGCAGACATCTGGATATGGACTATAAACAAGATTAGTGTCGTGCTAGCATGAACAAATGGAAATGCTAAGTGCTACTCTTGAGATTAGTGGCAGAGAGTCTTTAGAGTGTTCTTATTATTCTCTCTCCATCATCTTCTGTTTTCACAACCGACTAACTCTTCCACCACTTCTAACTTCAAATGTTTATTTTATAAGATTGAAAGCGCTTGTCACTTTTTCATTTTACTCCTTCAGGCTTGTGTCTTCCGCAACGTTCACCGACTATATTGCCTCTGGATGCACGCAGATGAAATATAAATGTCTTGGCACTGTAACTATCTGGATAAGTAATCCTAGGAGGAGACCGACTATTAGATATTAGGCTCTAAATTGACGTTAGGTTGATTGATTTGATGGTTAGAAGGGTTGTGGGGATGGCACAGACTTTCCTGAGTAGCTTAGCTTATTAGATAGAGAGGATTTCTAGAACTCCTAGTTACCTCACAGGGTCAGACGCTGATTTCATTACACATGATGTATTTTCTGCTGTAAAAATCTATCTATCTATCTATCTATCTATCTATCTATCTATCTATCTATCTACTGTTTTTCTGTCCATCCATCTACCCACCCACCCATCTGTCCATCCATCCATCTATCTTTCTGTCCATCCATCCATCCATTGATCCATCCATCCATCCGTCCATCCATCCATCCATCCGTCGATCTATCCATTGATCTATTTGTCCATCCATCCATCCATCTTTCTGTCCATCCACCCTCCCATCTATCCATCCATCCGTCCGTCTGTCCATCCATCCATCCATCATCATCATTAGATTTTTTTTCATTGAAATATTTTTTTTTAATCCTGCAGTACATCATTGAACAAAACCAAGTGACATAAGAGTTAGTCTGTCACAGAATACTGCACACACTACAGTGTTGTGTGAAAAAGCAAAAGAGAGCATATGATCTTGTGTCGCAATCATATTCTCTTCTGTCCCACAAATAATGTGCTGACCTTGTATTTTACAGTCCAAAAAAACATGCATTTTCTAACCTTCACACTAATCTAGTCAACATTAGTAATCACAAATTAGGAAATGTAGTCATTGTGGGTAAACGATCAAGAGAAATACAAATTTGGACAAAATCCATAAAGCACTTGCCAGCTTTTGGAATGAAGTATGAATGACTTTTGTGACGAGAAAAGGCACAATGCACTCAATCTTCATATTCATATAGCTTTAGTTATCAACTCTCTATCTGCTTCGGTAAGCATGACTGTAATTGTTCTGCTCTTCTCTCCTTAGGTTCAATTGGCGCAGAGTTAACGAGCAGCAATGTTAGCATGTTCATCACATCCGACGCTGGAAACACGTGGCGGCAGGTGACTCTGACCATGGGGGGTGTTCAGCCAGATGGGGTTGGGCAGTAATTTCAGCACTGATGCATATCTTTGAGCGGATAAATCCATGTGCCGCGTTTCAGAGCCGATAATCAAATGACACCTTCAGAGAAAACTAAATTCAATGACATATATGATGCCCGTGGGTGCATGTTTGATGATGCGATTTAAATTTATGGGGCCAGCTGTCTAAATAAAAATGGAGAGCTCAAATAATTAAGAGAAAATAGATGTGGCAAAAAGTTAAAACATGCTGGGTAGGGCACGGGTTTGATGTCATATATCTTGTCAGTAAGAATTACAATCACTGGGATTTGAGAAATAGCATTATTTCAAGGACAGCAGACCTGTGGTTGCCAGCTTCCATCTAATCAAATTGAAAGCCTTCCCAAGAAGAGTAAAGGATATGAAATATTGTCATAACTCAGCCAATCTGACATTATGGATGAAAATAACTCAGGAACATATGTAACAATGCCCTGAGCAGAATAACATAATATGAACTTTTTTTTGTTGGCACTAAACCAACAAACCCACAATGATTATTTCAGAACTGTGCAGTCCTTATTTATCATATATTTATGTTGATCAGAGCAACTGGGGTCAGATACATTTCTCAATTATAATGACTCTAGTGTGGCTTTTGGTTGATCCAACTTTTCCAGTGTGTTCACAGCCAAAGGAAAACAAAACAGACCTCGCACAGTATCCCACTAACATAAACACTAGCCTCGTAATTATTAGCCCATGAAGTCCTTAAGCCAATCAGATGGTGTTTTTCCTCCACTTTAACAGACTTGCATATGCTAAATGCTTGAAGCCCCAAGGCCTAAACTCAACAGGAATTCATATGAGCAAGAATTCACAGCACATACAGTGCAGTTATCAGTGCTCTGGGGCAAAAAAATGGAAACTGCTAATGAGGGCCTCAATTTTCAGTTCAACTTTGCAGTAGGTCAACATAGCATCTGGCTGGATTTTCCTCTGTAAGGCAATTTCTTGTTTCATACATGTTTACAACTACTAGCAGTTCTGTAATGGTGACTGGAAAGGGTCATTTTTTTTATTATTATATGCTTGCGTGTACTCTCAGAAGAAAAGGTACAAAAGCTGTCACTGGGGCAGAACCTTTTTAAAAGGTACATTTCTGCACCATATTTATCCCTAAAGAGTGGAAAATAGTAACTTAAAGGTACATATTAGTACCTAATTTGTAAATTTTAGTACCTAAATGGTGCAATTTAGTACCCTTTTGAAAAGGTACTGCCCCAGTGAGAGCTTTTGTACTTTTTTTTTTTCTGAGAGTGTAGTTTAATTTTATTTTAATAATAAGCACAACAGACTTTAAGAAATAATGGTAAATTGATTACACAACAGCAAGAAGATTAACAGGATGGAATCACACTTGGAAATAAAAAAGGTTTAATTTAGCCTTTGCATTAGGTAACAAGTGGGTGTCAGCTTTACTCTTTTGAAGTTTTATATTAGCAATTTCCAGTTTTTATCATTTTATCAAACAGGATTGAATGCTTTAAAATGAGACAAACCAACTAATATAATAAAATATCATTGATATTTTCATTAATATCATTGCTGTTGTTTTCCCTCTAAAATGATGTCAAAAATGACATTAAGGTCACAGGAAATACCTATAAACTGATTACCAATTAAATTAATACTCCCAAGAAAACATGTTTGTTTGTTTGTTAAAAATATTTGAATTAATATTTGAATTAAAAGAAAAGCATGAAAAATTGTACCATATTTCTAAATGTATAAATTGCCTCGTTTTTAATTTTAGAAGTTATCATGCTGGTGGCATGACAAAAAATGGCAACATCTGCTCAAAGAAAGTATTAAGATTACTTAAAATTTACCCCATGTTCACTAAATTGTGATAAACTAAATACAATTTTTATATTATATAAAGTTTTATATTTTATGTAGTCTTTTAATAATGGGAATTTCAAAATGAGCGGAACAGCGCATAATTTATACATTTATTTAATTACTTGTTTACTTATTTATATGTGTATTTATTCATATTGGACATCTTGGACATAAACACACATGCTCATATTTTCCGAATGTTTAATCGTTAAACTATGTCTGTCTGTTCCAGATATTTGATGAAGAGTACAGTGTGCTGTATCTGGATCAAGGTGGAGCTTTAGTGGCAATTAGACACACCCCTCTTCCCATCAGGCACCTCTGGTAATCCTGCGCCAATATCATTACTAATATTCTATGCGTATGTTCGTAAAAAGATGTGTCAATGCAATCGCACCGAGCTGACTCACACAATCACGGGGAGTGTGAACGTTCTCATTAAACCCAGTAGACTGTGTAATACTTTTGTCTAGTAATCTAGATTAAATGTCGGAAAGGTGCCGTAAAGTCCTGTTTGAATTATTTGCCAGCTGTGTGTGGAAATGCAATCTTTTCTACACTGTATTGTAGTTTCAGGTGTGTGCTGCTGGTTTCTATGCAGGTTGAGTTTTGATGAGGGGAGGGTATGGAACAAATATAGTTTCACTTCATCGCCCCTGTTCGTGGACGGCGTCTTGGGCGAACCAGGCGAGGAAACGCTCATAATGACGTAAGTATGATGAATATTCAGTGCTAATACATTTTGATTGTTCTGGAATGGGAAAATGGTGCTTGTTGAAATATGGTTTATGTTATGAACACTGTACAGCCTAAGAAACTGAATGTCCTCAAAGGACAGAACAGCTTTGTTAGACATGCATACTAACACTACATCTACCGCAATAACCAACAGCAGCAGCAATTCAGCAGCAGCGTAGCAGATCTGTTCCGCCAATACCAAATACATTAACATTGTCATATCCATCACCATGCTAAAATGTTCAGAGAGTTGTCATGATTGAAATACACTTACTGACCACTTCATTAGATACACCTTACTAGTTACCTTACCTTACACCTTAACAGGTCTATCTAATAAAGTGGCTGGTAAGTGAATATTAAGATAGAATATATAGAGTAATAATGCATTAAGGATGGATGCCTGCTTTTATGAAACCAAATAAAGAGCAAATGAATATCAAGTATATGCATATTCATGTATACTTTATAATAAATTATATTGCATAACTAAAATAACTTTATTGTAAACAATTGTGAGTTTGTATCTCATAATTGCATCTTAATCTCACAGTCTCTACTTTATTTTTCATAATTGTCACAGTGTGACTATATCTTATTTTAAGTTCTGTCACAATTACATATTTTACTTTCATAAGAATAAATGGTAATTGTAAAAAAAAAAAAAGTGAGTATAAAATGCTCAGTACTTTGCTTGATGATGCTTGGTGATAAAAAGAAAGCAATTAATGATAAACCAAGTGATTTATTTTTAGACCTTCCAGTAATGAATCACCTATTTAAAAAGAGGAATCAATAAAATCATGAAGCCAGTTCTGATTTCACATCATCCTGAATCCAGCACAGCCTAAAATTATTTTGAGAAGTATTTCATGAAGTTGTCCTTTGTAGGATATCCCTAGATACTTTCTGCCGTCTTTCTGACAGGCCCTAACAGTGTCACACTGTTCTTGAGTGTCAGACTTTCTCAATGTGAGTTTCAGACGTTTGTTGACAGTTTGACGCAGGTTTCCACTGATGGGGTTTGACTTGGATAACATTGCTAAGCATTTCCTTTCCCTGTCCGCTCTACATCTTTTTAATCATTAGAGTCACCGCACTCTGGATATGCCACTGCTCGCCAGACATACAGTGGCTGATGTTGTGCCTTTGTTTGCAGGATCTTCGGTCATGTCAGTCACCGCTCAGAATGGCAGCTGGTAAAGATAGACTTCAGGTCTATCTTTAACAGAAGATGCATCGAGTCTGACTATGTGCCGTGGGATTTACATGACCAGGTGAGAAATAATTTTATTATTATAACATGTATCTGAATATTTGCCTAAATACTTGTTTCACACAGTGTTGTATGTTGATCTCTTTAAAGAAGAAAGAAAATGTGTAATTGTTAAAAATAAATAAATAAATAATTCTGTATATGATGTAACAAACATAAAAAACATACAATTTTCACAAACTTTCCAATATTTTCTTTTATTTCATTATTTTTAATAGTATTATATTCCATTAAATTAGACATGTTTTCATAGAATCAGTTATTTTAGCATCACTGAGATCCTGTTTTTTTTTAATTAATATTTCGAATTAGTTTTCGCTTTTATATTTTCTGTTTTAAATAAAGTTTTAGTAACTTTGTTGTGTGTTTTTGTCATTTTTATGTATGTTCAGTTTTTAATATACCATGAATTAAGTAATTAATTTTGACAAAAGCATAAACCTAATGTCAGACTTGTGTTTAAAAGAAAAAAAGAAGAAAAAAAAAACAAAAAAAACAATATGACCTAATGGAAAGATCAAAAAAGTTTTCATATTGAATTTATATAATCTGAAGTCTCAAGTTTGCAAACTGTAATGTGTGTCACTGTCGCCAACAACAAACAACTTTTTAGCTTTGATTAAAGGTACAAGGCTAGTATTTTCTGGAAAAGAAAACAAAAAAAGGATTGCTCCAAGTTCACTCGGGCTCTGTTTGTGACAATCCTCTGTAAATGAATCTTAATGTCATTAATGTCCTTAACTCAACTTCTATACTGCATCTCAAGCCTTAAAATTAAGAGAGCCCAGTCTTGATCAGATACCTTTCGGCTTTGTCTGGTCTTTCCAGCATAATAAACCCTCCAGTGAGGCCTGACACTTTAGATTGCACTAAAGAGTGTGCCACATTGGCTTCCTGTTGTTTGAAACTTATGAGATTCCTTTCTAACCGGCCCTGACGTGCTTTTTCAGGGTCTGCTGCCGAGGCTATTTGAACAGGCTATTTAAATAATATATGCCAGAAGTCAAGTGTCCTCTCACAGGAGGATAATAGCACAAAACCAAAATAAAATCGCAGTATTTGGAGCACTAATTTGAAGGAAGCATGTTAACAAAAGACTAGGCAAAAAATGTTATTGCAAGATATATGAAATGTGAGTGAGAAGGCTGGAACCCTGAAATCTTTGATAAAATGAACCCCACAGAGTTCGGATGTGAGATATGAAATATGGAACAACCAAGTACAATGAGTGGAATTATTTTTTTTCTCTCTCTTTCCTGTTTTCTCTCGTCTTCTTTCCAGTCTATTATTTTTTATTTTTTTCTAAATTCAGGGTGATGTGCACATGCTTTGTTGTAATTAATTAATGTGAGAACTGAAATAAACCTGAACGAGAACACCATATGCCAACTTTATGTAGAAAATATTGTGTGTGTGTGTGTGTGTGTGTGTGTGTGTGTGTGTGTGTGTGTATGGGTGTGTGTGTATATATTCTCTAATGCGTTAAGCTTTAACCGTGTGTGTGTGTGTGTGTGTGTGTATGTGTGTGTGTGTATGTATATGTTGAAATCCTCCTTACAGGGTGAACGCTGCCTCATGGGAGTCAAAAGAGTTTACCGAAAGCTGAAGCCCATAGCAAGGTGTGTTATGGGTAAAATCTACTCTGTCACAACGATTTCCGAGCCATGTGACTGCACTGAGTCGGACTTTGAGTGGTAAGCAAACAAACATTTTTCTTCTAAGATTCAAGCTCTATTCTAAAACTGATGACTACAGGCTGCACTAACAAAGTGATATGCCAGTATGAAAAACCACAGCAAAATAGTTGATTTTTAATTGTATTCATTTTTTTTTATTATCTGATATATATATATATATATATATATATATATATATACATACCACTCAAATGTTTGGGGTAATTTTATTTTATTATATTTTAAGAACACATTTTAAAAGGTTAGTTCACCCAAAAATGAAAATTAGCCTATAAATTACTCACCCTCAAGTCATCCTAGGTGTATATGACTTTCTTCTTTCAGACGAATCCAGTCGTGACGCACGCGGAAGCGCAGAGGAGAGATCAAAGCAAAACAACGGTCAGGAATTAGAAGTACAAACCAAGGATTTGTAAAGAAGAATGTCGGAGAATTTCGATATAAGCCAAGAGGAGACTGGTTTTCCTTTGCTAAAGTAAGGAAACTTTGCTTCCTTTGCTCCTGTAAACAAACGTTGGTTTTCAGGAGACTCATCAGCGCATGCGCAATGCCGACATCTTACATCATCCTCCCGGAGCTGCTTCTGTGTACAACTGTTGGCGCAAGCTAGATTAAAGTGATTATTACGTTTTGAATATGGATATTTTTCTTACAAAAAACGCATCGATTCGCTACAGGAGGCCTTTGTTCACCCCCCGGAGCTGTGTGAGACACTTTTTTTTTTTTATGGATGGGCGCTTTTTATTTAACTTCTTTTGAACTGATGAACTGCAACACCTGCTGACTGCCATTAAACAGCTTGAAAGATCAAAGACAATTTTTAATATAACTCCAACTGGATTCGCCTGAAAGAAGAAAGTCATATACACCTAGAATGACTTGAGGGTGAGTAATTTACGGACTAATTTTCATTTTTGGGTGAACTAACCCTTTAATTCAGCAAGAATGCATTTAATTGATCAAAAGTGACAGTAAAGACATTTATAATGTTATAATTTAATTTAAAATAAATGCTGTTCTTTTGATCTTTCTATTCAATCGATGCTTGAGGATTAGGCCTTTAGAATTATATATAGTTTGTCAAGATTAATTATGTCCCGTTTCATTTAATCTATTCGTAAACACTGACACATGCAAAAAGAGTGTTCAGTGTGCCAGTGTCTAGGTGCGGGTTAACAGGTTAAAGAATTCTAAAAAAAAAAAATAATAATAATAAAGCAGCTTCTACACAAATTAAGCTGTTTTCAACTTTAATAATAATAATGCTTTGTAAACACCAGAACAGCAAATTAGAATGATTTCTGAAGAATCATGTAACATTGAAGCCTGGAGTAATGACTGAAATAAATTACATTAAAAAAAATGTGTTCAAATAGAAATCAGTTATTTTAAAATTTAATAATATTAGTTTTTTTATCAGATAAATGCAGCCTTGCTGAACAAAATAAACTTCATTCAAAAACATTTTTAAAAAATGACCCCAAACTTTTGAATGGTATGCATGTCAACAGTTGTCTCTTTACAAATTATAGAAGAAATATCTGAAACAAAGTTCACACTTAAATGAAACATGACTGAGAACTCCATTAAGTCTCTCTAGAAGAGCTCTCTAAAAGAGCAACTTTTGAGCAATGACATTTTCTTCTAGGTAGTGTTGCAGCCAATGTCCTGTCTGCAAGACACATGCTAAAAGGGTTGAAGGGCTTGTGAATTAAATTGTGGCTAGTCCTCACCAGATTATTTTTCAGAAGAGTTGCAGTAATTTTCTTAAAGAAGATCTTTGCTAAGTGTAAACTAGTCAAGCTGAGTGAAGACTAAATGGAAGTAGACGTGTTACTTCTTGAAAATCACAGCTACTCAATAGTACTGTTCTCTCCGTCTGTCACTACCCTCTCTTCTGTAGTATTTCACACCCCAGGCTTTGTGGCTTAAACCCCCCATTTGTATTCCTAACACTCTTTTCTTGTCATGTAAATGTGGCCTCTCTCCTTATTTTTCCCTGAATTATCAAAGTTATTAATGTCACTGTTCTGGAAAGTCCCAAATGTGCAGGCCCCTTGAGGCTGTACGGAACAGTGTGAAAGTTGGAGCATAAACAACAAAGAAGACACTCCAAGCTTTCAAATGAACCCATATATGGGCTGATACCATATAAGGAAGGCTATGTAAATGAAGCATAACCATTTTTAAGCGATTTTGGACCCGTATCCGGGTCCGCGGAGTTTAAGTGGTTTTAATCAGGGAGTGAAACGCTATGCGTTAACCAACACAAGCTGCCTACATCTGTGTAGCATGTCATGGTAATTAGTGTCATTTGTTTTCTTGATTGGGGTGTTGAGTTGCCTTGACAAACAACTTTGGCTTGTATTGTCTGTCTAATGGTTAGGTCTAAAAATAAATGAATAAATAAAAAATGTAAATGTCAAAATTATTTTTGGAAGTATTTTTATGCTGACAAAGATTTTCATGCATTTGAATACAAAGATATGTCTTTCTCTCTCTCTCTCTCTCTGGGTTAGTTATTTGTTAAATGTTAACATGAAAGTGAGATGCTAGCACTGCTGGCTACTATGCAATTTTTTTATAAATTGTTAGAAATTAAAAATGATATGACTGCAAAGAAATACAAAATCTTTAAAGCATGTAATGAGCATAAAGACTTTTCTTGACTTGCCAGTATACTGAAAAAAAAAGATTTAGTCCATTTCATTAAGTATAATGTGGGTGACACTTAGACTTTTGCTTTAAATACATATTATTCCTGACAGCTAATATAATTATTTCCATATAAAAGTGAGGTTTATTCATGTTAATGAATGGGAAGATTGGCATTCTGACTTTAATATTATGATTTCTAAAGTCTTTCTCAATGTAAATATTTTACAGTTGACAAATAACAGTGTTTATTTTACCAAAAATACACTGAAAAAAAAAAATAAATAAAATTGGTGTGGGATTTACTTATAAACCATTTTCACTCAGAAATTGCTAGTAAATTTCACAAATAATTTCAAAGAAATGGCAAAGTAACACACTGAATTAAACTACATTTTGAAGTAGGAAAACTTAAATTGTATTATCTTATAAAATGTATTTAATATTTAGTTACAACTTATAAAAATAATTTTATTTATTTATTTATTTATTATTACTATTATTTAATGGTGTAGCAGGGAGTTGACTGAGTTATGAAAGACAAATGTTATAATAAAAGAAATGCCTTTTTCAGACCAATGGGATTCTGGCTTAGCGCTGTGAGATCTGGGTTGACAACTGTGTTAAACTGGCTAAACATGAAAGTCAAGAAGTAGAGACCTCATGGGTGTTTATGTTTTTTTTTCACAGTGATTATGGCTTCGAGAGAAGGGCTAATGGGAAATGTACTCCGGCATTCTGGTTCCTCTCCTCCTCCATGTCTCGGACCTGTACTACAGAACACACATTCCTCAACAGCACTGGGTGAGATCTCATGTGACGAATGCATCTGTCTATTAAAAGTGATTATCCAATGTTCTCATTTAGACAGCTAAGTAATCTTGTATGTGTTTGTTCGTGAGATTTTCAATTAAACATGTTCGCCATCTGTATTCTCAAATGATTTTAATGCATGACTCATTTCAAATGTTGTGTGTCTTTTCCCTGTTACAGCTAAGCAGACTAATGAATTTCAGTGTTGCCAACTGGTCATTTTGTATTGTAGGTTCAGAATAGGTTTATAAATGTGTGTCATTTGAATGAATGTCATGCGTCTGTGTGTGTGTGCAGGTACAGAAAGGTGGTGTCTAATAACTGCACCGGAGGGGTGATGGAGCAGTACACGGCTCGTAGGCAGCTATGCCCTAGCCAGGCCCCTCGCGGCCTCCACTTAGTGACCAACGAAGGGAAGCTAACGGCGACTCTTGCCAGCAACGTCACCTTCCTCGTCTTCCTGGAGGAGGTATAGAAAGATTCAGTGTTTCCTGCACTGCTTTTCAGTGACAAACATACATTGGCATCAGGGGCGTGTCTACGTGGTGGCCAGGTGCCCCCCCCTACCAGATGTCTTGCCATAGGTTTGTTTTTAGTAAATTTCTAATTTTAGGCGGTTTCTATAGTGTGATCTTAATGACAATGTCGAGAGCGCATAATGTTACGCGATCCATGTGCGTGAGGACGAATCTCTCCACTCCCAAGCGGATTTCCTTCACTCACACAAAACTGGACGTGTGCTTTTAACATACATCGTTCCACCCTCTTTACCCATCGTTACACCCCGGCCACCCTCTTTTGAGCCAGTGCCCCCGACTGGCCCCCCCATTTAAAATGCTCTAGACACGCCCCTGATTGACATACATGATCTTTTGGGGAATTTGAGTTTGCAGTCTGAGCAGATAAAACAACTGCAAGAAAACACATCTTTCCCACTGAGTGCTAATGAAAACTAGTCATTTTGATCAGTGTGAATTCCTATGAACTGGTTCTTTTGGTGAATCGTTCAGAAAGACTCACAAACTAAAGAGTGCTTTTAATACCTCTGACAAATCCATCACTGAATATTATAATCGTAATAAATTATATAATTACATAATTACATTTGTAATATGCATATTACTATGGTAACACTTTAGTTTAGGGACCAATTCTACTTGTTGCTTATTAGCATGCACTAGCATATTGGCTGTTTATTAATACTTACAAAGCACATATTAATGCCATTTTCTTAAGCCTACCCCATACCTAAATTTAACAACTACATTATTAATTATTAATAACCAGCAAATTACGAGTTTATTGAGGGAAAATTGGTCCCTTAACTAAAGTGTAACCATCGACTGCTAACCCCCAAAGAACAGAGATAACCCTCATCCACCATAAACAGGGCATTGTAAGCTTGAGGTCTTGAGAAATCATGACAGACCATCTTGCCTGCACAAGAGCAATGTTTTCCCATGGTAGATCAAGCGCGCTGGGACAAACAAGATGTCCTCCAAAGCAGATGAACTGACAGCTGAATGAATCGTACACAGAGCTTTGCCAGTATCGTAGTCAGGAACAGTTTTGCTTTCTGCCTAAAAAAGGGAAAAATTCTCAGATATTACAGAAAGTTCTCCGACTAAAGAACATTTGTTCAGCAGCCTGGTTGTGTTTTTTAGCTAGACTCAATGATGTTGTTACCCTTTTTTCCCAGGGTGATGGATCGAAAACCAGCATAATGGTGGATTTCGGCGACGGAAACGCTTTCACCTACTCCAACGTGAGCTCTATCGAGGATGGCATTAAACACATCTACAAGAACGTGGGAATCTACCGAGTGTCAGCCATGGCGGAGAACAGTCTGGGCTCTGAAACGGTGCTACTCTTCCTACACATTACGTGTAAGCCAATACGTGGGAGGGCGAGTAACAATATGCACAATACAGATAGCAATATCGTATTCTGATTTAATATCCTTAATGTATTTTAAAGACCCACTGGGTCTGAGCACTCTGAACTCATTTATGCTTTATTGACCAGAAAAATCTCATTTGGCCTTGTTCGTATTGCACTCCACATTAAGCAATCTAGATTTCAAGCTTATAGCCTCTAACTGGTTCACGAGATTGGAATCATCCCTCTTAGTTATTGCCGACAGTAACTTCAGTGTATGATGAAGGTCCTCAGGAGGCAAAATATCATCCAGGTCTGATAAACTTTACTTAATGCAACTTTTACAATTATGAATCAGTTATTTTTAGTCAATTAAAACCATTCAGCACAATCAGTGTAGTCCAATCAATTTCCAAACAAATTACTCTTTCGAACAATTCTTTTAGGTGAATCAAACACAAACAGTTTAGTCTTGTGTTGCTCATAAAACTCCTGAGACTTCATATGACTATATATATACATATATGTATAAGGTACCTTATATATATATATAAGGTATAAGGTAGTATTTTATTAAAAAATATATATTTTTAAATAATAATTCAAGCAAGTTTTGGAGCCTTATTACACAACTATTTGGAATATTTGATTCTAATTCTCTTGATTCTTTATGGCAGAAAACACACAGCATGCCTACATTAGTCCGATTCCCTAATGATTGAATCTTATGAGTTAGTTCTGTTTAGTGAATCATAATACAGCACAACTGGTATAATCTGATTGCCAAACGGATGTCTCTTATGAAACAAATCTTTTAAGTAAATGAAAACCATACAGTGTGAACAGTGTAATCCAACCGATTTCCAAACAAATGACTCTAATGAATGATTCCTTTAAGTGACTTAACAGCATAGAACTGTTATGTTTATTGTTACGTTGTACTTGGAACTACTGAGACTTCTTATGACAATGTGCAGCATACATTGAGTAGCATTAAAAAAAGTTACCACATTTGTTGCTTGTTTAATATTGTTGTTTAATATATAGTTAATACCAATTATTGAATTGCCTTCATGCTGCCTCTACAGACTGAGAAGTCATTAAAAAGCATTGATTTCAGATGCACTTGCCCCTTAATGTTTTGAAGAGAGAGAGACAAAAAAGTGTGGTTGGTCATTTCACATGTTGGTCAAATGGCCTATTCCTGTCTGCGTTGGTGGTTCTTGGCCAAAATATGGATTAGACTTTATGCCAACAATTTACAGACTTTTGAGCAGACAACTCTATCATCTTATGTTGCAGTAATGTTGGAAGACATTATTTTAACACATTCTACAAGCAAATGGCCTGAGTTTTTGTAGCTTTTTTTAGTGGTTGTAGTCTGTGTTCATGCTAGAGGAAGCTCATCAAATATCAGCGTCTAACAGCGATTAACTAAGCATTTTGATTCAAATGTTCGCCCTTTTTCTCATGTCCACCTACTCAGTGAACTTGCCAGCCCCTGCTACATTCAGGCAGACAGATGCCTCCGCAGTGACATATTGATCAGGGAGATGGAACGCTTCCAATCTGTCAATCCTGTCGTGCCAGGCAAAGCAAATAGGGCCTCTGGAGCATGAGTTGAAATTCACACGCAGATGGCTCTGTGTTGCTAGGAGAATATTTGTGAATGAATGAATATATGGTGGGATCATTAGGAGGACGTTTAGTTTGGGCTGTAACTTTAAGGCATATTCTTTTTATAGTAAATAATAACCACATTCCACCCCAATTTGCTTTGGGATTGGTAAGATTTTTAGAAGATTTAAAAGAGTTGGAATATTTATTTACTTTTTTGAAAGCCAAGGCTGCATTTATTTGATCAAAAATACAGTAAAAACAGTAATATTGTAAAATAGTATTACAAATTAAAATAACTGCTTCTTTTTTAATGTATTTTAACATATAATTTATTCCTGTGGTGGCAAAGCTGAATTTTCAAGTGTCACATGATCCTTCAGAAATCATTGTAATGTTGATTTTGAGCTCGAGAAACATCAAAAGTTTGGGGTTGGTTTGATTGATTGATTGATTCATTCATTGATTAATTGATTCATTGATTCATTCATTCATTCAATGTTGAAAACATGCTCAAAATTTTGTCATTTTCGATCTATTTAATGTTTTTGCTAAATAAATGTTTTTCCAAGAAAAAATACATTTAAAAAAAAATTCCATTTAGTAGATGATGTTGTCAACAATTTAATGTTACCAGAAATATTAGCAGTCAAGTTATACTAAAATAAATATATTCTTTAAAACTCTGTAAAAAAAAAAAAAAAAAAAAAAAAATTTCAAAAGGCTTTTTTA